TATTAGATAGTACCAGGGTACGTTCCGGTATACCGGATAGTACCAGGGTACGTTCCGGCAGTACCCCGGGGGACATAGACCCTCTCAGCCTTACTTATGGTACAACCTACGACATGAATAGTCCGGTGAAATACCACCAGGTGGCTTGCCGATTTTCAGCTAAAACTTTTTAGCGACCGTGATATAAAAAATGTGTATATATAGTATACGGCTATAATACTCGTGCATGTGCGCGTGCGATCATTTCTGCTCGTGCCGGTATGGTGGTACGTGTCTTTGTGTATCTATGTGGCCGTATAACCGAAAAACAGTTAGCCACCTGTGTGTGCAACCGATGGCGTGTGCGATACTTTTTGCTGGAGGGGAGAAAGAGAATGAGTGAAAGCAACAGAGTGGGAAGCGCAGAGTAAGAGCAGTGTGAGAGAGAGAGAGAGCGCAGGGTGAGAGAAGAAGAGCGGGAGAGAGGGAGAGAGGGAGAGAGGAAGAGAGCAGTGAAAAAAATACTCGGGGGCTCGGGGCGATTTAGCCCTCGAAATGCCAAAAAGAGCCCCGGAAGAGCCCCCGTAAATTTGCATAGAGTTAATGCAAACCAAATTTTAGAGTGCTATTTTTATGCACGCGAGCTTGAAAAGTAGCCCCCGAAAAATAAATTATATTTTTTTCCCTGGAAGAGAGTATAGTAGAGTAAGCGAGCAAGGAAGTTAATGTTACATTAACAGGTAAATGCTTCACACGAGTAAATCTGTGAGTAAATATCTGAACTTTAAACGTAACCAACGCTGGGAATTGATAATTCGTCACAGGATGAACAGAGCAACTGTTAGCAGAGAACATTTCAAGTGCTAAAAAATAATAACTGCCAAATGTAAGGCTGATATTGAGTAGAGGGTCATTCTATTTTGTCACTAGCGAGTGCAGACACATTAATAAGTATCTTTCACCAACAAAAGTTTAGGAGCACTGCATAGTTTTCCAATCGCGGCATGAATCTCTTCCTGCCAGGCAGTAAGCAAATGTCGTCTCTATCATAGGCTATTTTACTCTGCCCTGCCGAAGTAATTGTTTTTGAGTTGTTCTTTGTGGGTGTTTATAAATTATAACAACTGGTAGTTAATGTATGTGCTTTTTAAAGAACATCATATTTATTATTTATAATTATATGCAAAATATACATTTCTAAAATACTATCTCTACAGTGCAGTCAATGAACAACTGACAAGAGAACATTCAAGAAAATGAAAAAAACTGCGACTACACAAAAGTATAGAAAGTGAACAAATTTACAAGTTACCATTTAAATTTTTTCATGCTTAATCCGTTATCTGATCATTTCCATAGAATTTCCGTTAGATGCTCGTCCAAGCTCAAAATAAAAAATTATTCGGCATCAAAAATTCAGCAACACGTTTTACACTTCTTTTGTCGACGTTTCTTACATAATTTGGTCAAATTATTCTGGGTTCGCTCAACAGAGGCAGTTCCTTGAAGGACAGATGGCTCTTCCAAACCACTGCTTCTAGATTCGTACAATGAACTGCCAACACTTGACGCACTTGCAGGAGCTACGATAGCCTTCTGTTCTGCTGAGTTTCCAGCACTGCTATTTCCAAATTGAGATTCACTTCCGCAGCACGGTGTTTCATAATTAACCTCCTCAGCGGTTTCTTCCCGGGGGGCACGTTCCATGCCGGGCTTTTTCAGTGTTACTGTCAGGATTACTACATCGCTGTCACGGCTAGATGCGTTATTCAGTGTGACAGCTTCATTAACACCACATGAACCGTCGAGCTGAGTGCTGCATCGGCATCACATTTCTCTGCACTCCCGTGTCCACTATGGTCCTCCACCCTCTGAATGCTGCTGTGTGCATCATCGTTTGAAGCGGATAACAAGTAGTTAACACGACACGCAATTTGATTTCTACTTTGACCAGGTCTGCCGACGAGGCGCCATGAGCATCGAAAGCATTCCGATGTCTCAAACGTTTTCAAATCGCTGTCAAGTAGCATTTTACCAATGGATTTCGTGCCTCCAACCTCACGATGTGTGGTCGTTGTTACTGCCGGATGGATAACACTGCCTATATGGCTATTCTTACAACTGGCTCTCACCTGTCTATTTGTTTGCAGTGTACTGATGCAGCCATCAACTCGTTGTATAGTGTGACCTTCGATTTTTGATGTACTGGTGTGTACATCAACTTGTGGTGTACTGGCGTGACCTTCTACTTTTGACATGCTCGTATTACTGGTATGGTCATCCACTTGTGGTATACAGGTACTTGTATTGCCATTCACTTGTGGTGTACCAGCATGACCATCCACTTTTGGTGTAGTGGTGTGACCATCCACTTTTGCTGTACTGGCATGACTGGTATGGCCATTTACTTGAGGCTTACTGGTATGGGTATGACCATTCAATTGTACCATACTGGTACTAGTGTAACCCTCCACTTGTAGTGTATTCGTTAAACCATCTACTTGCAGCATACTAGTGTCATCATCCAATTTTGATGTAATCGTATGGCTGGTGTGGCCATCCAGTTGTGGTATACTAGTACTAGTCTGACAGTCCACTTGCAGTGTACTAGTGTTCACCCATACCTTTGATGTATTGGTGTGTACATCCACTTGTGGAGTAATAGTGTGGACATCCACTTGCAGTCTTGCACATTGACCCAATACTTTTGACAAATTGGTGCATTGATCTATTTGTGATGCACTAGTGCCACCAGATACTTTTGACAAATTGGTGCATACATCCAATTGAGGTGTATTGCTGTAACTGTCCACTTGTGGTGAATCAACACAATCATCTACAGCTGATAGCGAAACATCGCACATATGTTTTTGTACACGATCTTTATCACGTGAGGTCGATAAGAGGTAGTTTCCATACAATTTCAACCTAGTATTATGACTTCTTCGTGGCCTGCCAACAACAGGCCATAAATGAAGCCTTGCTTGGTATATCGTATTCTCCTTACAGTTTTTGTCTCCATTTGTGGACAAACTGCTAAAACTGTCTTCATTCAGTTCTGTACTGTTAACATCCGGAGCAGATAGTCTATTGGGGTCAACACTATTATGGTCCTTCAGTCCGCCAAACACTCCTACATGTACTTTTGACAACTTCTCAGCCATGTGTTGTATTTTTTTCTTTTTGGCACGTTGCCTGCCTAAACTCGGGTTGAAACTGGCTTTCCTCTTTCTACACATCCCAATAGGGTCATCAACAGAAATTATAGTTTTCTGCAATTGGGTATTGCCGTCCCTACAGATGCTGCTAGAGCTAGAATTCATGTTTCTTGACCCATCACAACCCTCAGCATCTTCTGACTCATCATCAAATGAGCTTCCAGAGCAGGCTAGCACCTTGCAGTGTTTCTCAAGTGCATGTGTGTAATACTCAAACTGTCGCAGAAGACACTGTTCACACGCACGGCACCTGTATAATACTGCGATTGGTTCTGGTCTCTGTGTCTTCGTGCGACCGAACCTGCGCACGTCCGCTTTACACGGGAATGCTTGCTTGTGGTCAGCAGTGTAGTTGTCATCAACAGCTGTGTTCTCCCCCTGGCTGATCAGCATTATGCAATGAAAAAGCCTCGAGTGGCTAACAAACTCTAGCTCACTCGTAAAACACTCCCAACACACAGTACATCTGTGAAGTGCCATCGAACCATCATCCATCGGCGCCTCCATTGCTCCAACACTTTTCAGCTAGGTACCGTATTGCTATCGATTGTTTATTCAAATCCTAGATTAGTGTCTATGGCTGGGGACCCGAGCGTGACCTCTGTAGCATACACGACATCTCTAATAGTAGTAGTAGTACTAGTACTACTACTAGTAGTAAGCATGCTCGTGAGGTTTGATGATCAACCTAACCTGCTTGAGTGACATCACTCATCAGTGTGATAGTGAGGCTCATAGGGTCTATGTCCCCCAGGGTACTGCCGGAACGTACCCTGGGTACGGTCCGGTATACCGGAACGTACCCTGGTCACTATTTGATATGGTTAGGGTTAGGATTAGGGTTAGTGTTAGGGTTAGGGTTGGGGTTGGGGTTAGGGTTAGGGTTAGGGAGTAGGCGTAGGCGACTCCCTAGACTCGTTAGTGGAGTAGGCGAGGTACGGTCCGGCATATTAGATAGTACCAGGGTACGTTCCGGTATACCGTACCGTACCCAGGGTACGTTCCGGCAGTACCCCGGGGGACATAGACCCTTTCAGCGATAGTGAGACACAACCTGTAACTGTAAGCTGTATGTGTAATACACAACACACGCATTTACGATTCGTGCAGAGAACTCTGTGCGATTTCAGCTATTTTCAGCCGCGAAAGTACTATTATAGTCATATAAGTCCAACTTTAGTTACCTGGACAGCTGTTCGTATCACGAAAAAACAAACTTTCAGCTGAATATAACCAGTGAAATTGATTCTTGTTTGTAAACCTTCTTATTTCCCACCACTAACATCCGATTCGATCATGCTCTGATTGGATTGAGCCCATGAGCGAGAGAGCGCCATCTGTCGTGGAGTTTGTGTCACGGCCTGTGGCAATATTTCCCATCAACCCCGATGTAAACACTAAACATCTGAGAATGGCAGCTGATAAAAGTAGTGAAGACGAATGTTGTTGCCCACCTTCTGATTTCCCTGTTTCTGTCTCTTTCGACGAAGATCATGCAACAACGAATACGGCGCGTGGACGATGTCCACTTTGTTCAAAACTTCAATGTGCTTTTTGTTGTAAATATTGTATTCAAAATGGGGATTTTACCCATTCAAATGTTGGCAGGGACAAGGAAAGGTATGACTATGAGTATGACTATGACTGAGTACTGTAGTACACATAACATTGACATTAGACATAGATATCATATAACAACAACAGTTATAGCATGAACATACGTATGATTTGTTTATAGATATGTTCGTGTCTTAATTATAGTTTATTACTATTAATTATACAATTACAGGGCAGAAATATAGCAGAGTGAATTCCAACCCATATCTTTTCTAAAGACTAAACTGTAGTAAACACTGAAACAGTCAGAATTGTAATTGTAATAAGTCAAGTAATTTTCAGAAATTTAATATACTATTACTAATTGCTATGTAGACACAAAGTTCCCGTTCGTATTGACTAGTGTAATTCTTACACGTAGATGCGTAGCCAGTCTTTTATGCTATATATTTGTGTGTGTGTGTGTGACAGTGTGTGTGTGTGTGTGTGTGTGTTTGCGTATGTGTGTCTGTGACTGTCTCTGTCTTTGTTGTGGCTGCAGTATCATCAAAGGTGGTTTCCCCAGGCTACTATAAATATGTATAAAATATATTTGACATTTGTTGTAAGAATACCTAAAAATGTGTACCATGGATTTATGACAAGTGCCACTAGATGGCAGTCTTTTATCGTCGTGATACGGCATGATTTTAGTAACGCAAGAGGTTGAAAGCTTGTTTTATCGCTCAATGACGTCACAGTGTCGTCACGTCCGTACGGACTCAAACTCCTGTTTTAAGGTGCATTGTGACCCTAACCCTAACCCTAACCCTAACCATAACCCTATTTAAAAAAAAAAAAATTAAATTTTGTACAGTCGACACTGTGACGTCATTGAGCGACGAAAGAAGCGTTCAACCTTTTGCTTTAGTAACCTTAATTATGAAATATGCTGTTTAATTAGGCATTTGCATCATTCACGTATATAATATTTTGTTTTTATTAGTCTTCATGAGAAGATCCAGAAGCTTAATAATCTTAAAAATGAGAAGCTCAAGCTTATTGTGAGGTATGTTTGCATTATAGTGATATATAATTTATCATTAATAGGTGTAATATCTATAGTAAAGTATGTGCATGGAGTTGTGCATATCCTCAAAGCACTTGGTTTCAATTTTCATCACCATACTACCAGTTTATGGATTCATGTCCAGTTACTAGCATGTAAGCACTTACCTCGTTTTTGCCGTTTGGAAAAGGTTAGTAGTATGAATAAATAAATCAGGCTAAGCCTCATTTCAGGTCATGTGTCCCTTAAGTATTGTTCGAACCAATCAGATAATAAATTGTGGGAACATACCTACGGCTGTTATATTTATAAATAGATTAATTCTATCACTGTGATTTCTTCTTTAGCTAAATCTATTAGTTTTGATGTATTCTTGCAGATTTGATGAGTATCTACAGGTGAAAACCATATTAGACCAAAAGGTAAGATGAAAGTTTTGATGTGTTTTTAGCTCATCTGACGAAGTCAGATGCAGCTTGTAGAATCGCATGATCGTCCGTGCGTCCGTGCGTCCGTCAACAGTTGGGCACAAATCTAAACGGCTCTACGTACGGATTCGAAAGTTGGGACGTGGGGGGTAATCCAAGAACGAGTTGGGATGTTGAAGCTGGGGGTCAAAGGTCAAAGGTCAAGAGGTGTAAAAGAAGGGGGAACATTCCCTCCTTAACTTAAGGTATAGGGAGGAAATGCAGAATTGCGGCACAAATCTAAACGGCTCGACCTAGGCTCGTGATAGTCGGTGTACAGCATCATGGTAGGAAAAGCCATCACTCTGCCAAAATTGGAGGTCACAGGTCAAAGGTCAATGGGGCACAGGGCAGATTTTAGACATTTTCTGAGGACATGGTCTGACGGAGCGATTGAAAAACTTTTTTGTTTCAGCGGTGACCTACCATTTTTAGCTGGCTTTATTGAAAGGACCATGAAATGTACTTTCCGCTGACATGCGAAAAGAAAGTGTCTGAAAGGACTGAACTGCT